CTGGTTGGGAAGATCCCCTGGAGAAGGGAAAGGCTACCCACTCCAGTATTCTGGCCTGGAGAATTCCATGGACTGTATAGTCCATGGGGTCTCAAAGAGTTGGGCAGCACTGAGCAACTTTCACTTGGGCACTTGCGGGGGCAGGGGCAGGGGCAGGAGGAAGAGGGAATCTGAATTTAGTTTCAGAGGTGGAGGTGACATTTGCTAACGGACTGGCTGTGAGGAGGGAGAGAAAGCAAAGTGAGCGATGACGTGAGAGTTTGAGCCTGAATGGGACTTGGAGTTTCCATCGCTGAGCTGTGGTAAAGGCAGCTTTGGGAGAGGAAGAGCATCAGCCTTCCTAGCAGAGACCTGGATTGGGCAGTTTGGTAAATGAGCCTGGGATTCAGAAGAGAGATGTGGACTGGAGAGGCCTGAATACAGTTTGCTTGTATGTTTTTTTTAATTTATTTTTGGCCACACCATGTAGCTTTTTGGATTGAGGTTCCCCAGCCAGGGATTGAACACAGGCCCTGACAGTGAAAGCTTCCAAGTCCTAAGCACTGGTCTAACAGGGAGTTCTGTGTTTTTTTTTGGCTGTGCTGGAGCTTCCTTGCTGCATGGGCTTTTGTCTAGTTGAGGCGAGTGGAGGCTACTCTCTAGTTGCGGTGTGCGGGCTCTAGTGCCAGCAGGTTTGTGGGTTTCAGTAGTTGTGGCTCCGGGGCTCTAGAGCATTGGCTTAGTAGTTGTGGTGTGTAGGCCTACTTGCGCCTTGGGATCTTCCCGGACTAGGGATCGAACTGGTGTCTCCTGCATTGACAGGCAGATTCCTCACCACTGAGCCACCAGGAAAGCCCTGTTTGATTTCCAGTGACAGCTTTATTGAGATATGATTTACATAACCCTATACTTCCGGCTTCCCTGGTGGCTCAGTGTAAGGAATCTGCCTGCAGTGCAGGAGCCGCAGGCTTGATCCTGAGGTTGGAAGATCTCCTGGAGAAGGGCATGGCAACACACTCCAGTTTTCTTGACTAGAGAATCTCATGGACAGAGGAGCCTGGCGGGCTACAGTCCTTGGGGTCACAAAGAGTCGGACAGGACCGAAGTGACTCAGCAGGCATGCAGCCGTACAATTCACCTACCTAATGAGTACAGTTCAGTGGTTTTAGTGTATGTACAGTCTTGCGCAACCATCCCTACAATCATAGAATATTTTTGTAGCTGGTTTTTCAAGTCACAAGACTGGATGAAAGAGGAGACTGAGGACAGAGCCCTGGGGCACCATGTGGAGAGGTTGTGGAAATGAGTGGGGACTGGAAGCCAAGAAGAGAAGGTGGTTTAAGAAGGAGGAAGCTACCATAAGGCACAGGGCAAGTGAGATGAGGAGGAAACTGATCATTGTTTTTAGGCACGTGGGAATGACCGGAACAAGAGCAGTTGCACTGGCCCGGTGGGAGTGCAGGCCAGATCAGAGAGGGGGTTAAGTGAGAACAAGAGAAGAGGACCTGCAGAGAGCTGGTGCAGGCGCTCTGTCAGGGAGTAACGAGGAGCAGAGAAGCGGGGCAGTTGCTGGGGTGGGGTGGGGTGGGGTGGGGTGGTCGCATCAATTCCCGAGCCGAGCTATGTCTGAGGAGGGGAGAGGATATGGGACCTGGAGCACGGCATGGCCTTCCCTAAGCAGGACGTTTTCATCCTGAAGAGTAAGAGAAGGTGGGGATGAGACAGACACGGGCAGGGGCGAAGATGCGGTAGGAGTTTATGGACGTTCTCTTCCAATTTTAAAACATTTTCTGGGTGAGAAATGAAACCAACCATCAGCTGCAGGTGAGCATGAGGTGCTGGTGATGGAGGTTTGAGGAGAGGGCAGTTGGTAGGAGACAGTCGTCTGGATGGAGCAGGAGAATGGATTTGGAGAGGCAAGGTTCTGAACCTGACCCAGACCCTGCTTGCTTTGGCCTCTGTCTGCCTGTCCAGCTTTCCCCACTCTCCTCTTCTCTACTGCTTTCCGGCTGCACAGATAGCCCTGCAGATTTTAGACGATGTCAAGCCCTGTTCCACTTTTTCTCTCTGCCAGGAATGTCTTCCCTTTGTTGGTTGAGGGGCCTATGAGACATCTCAGTGAGGAGGAGCTGGGAGACAGGGGTGGGGGTGGTGGTGGGAGGCTGAGAGGAGGCCTGGCGTCGGGGAGCCACTTGGGAGTCATTGGTGCGTCCCCTCCTGAAGCCGCGTCCCTGCTCTCTCCAGGGTTCTGTTCTGGTGAGGGGCGAGGCACACAGGAAGAAGGCAACGTGTGTGTCTGATGGAGAAAACGAAGGAGTCTGATGGTGGCGAAGGAGGGAGTTGTCAGGAAAGGCCTTATCAAGAGGTGATGTTTGAGCAGATGTAGGCGTGAAGGGGCTGGGCTGGTGGAGGAGAAGTGGTCCAGGCAGAGGAAGCGGCGGGGAACAGACCCTGGGGCGGGATCACGTTCAGTGTGGTGGGGTTCTTACAGTGGTGGAGAGAAGAAAGGGGATCGGGCTGAGAGGACCGGGCCTTGTTGGCCATTGGCAGGACTAGCATTCACGCCAGCTGACTGGGGAACTCTCAGGGTTTTCACCCGAGGGGTGTGATCTGACTTACAAGTTAACAGAGCCTCCCCTGTGAAGTCAGCTGTGAGGGGCAGGGGAGGAAGCCAAGACCGCGTAGGAGGCTGGAGCTGTCTTCTCTGCCCGGGATGAGTGACCTTCCTGGGATCCAGGAATGCGCTGCTGATAGAAGAGGAGCCAGGAGGGGAGGTTGAGATTGGAGGGATCTGAGGAGGTGGGGTGGTGATTTCAGATTGAGAAGGTGCTGAAAGCCACAGAGGTGCTGGAGGAGAAATCCGAGCAGCAGCTGCTGGATGCAACAAGGGGGAGGTTCTGCAGGCTTTCAGGGGAGCAGGCTTGTTGGTCAGGCGGGATCAAGAGAGAAGAGGGCTAGGAAATAGCAACAGCCAGTGCGGCAGTGGGCAGGTCCACAAGGCTGCACGCTTTGTTTTGACGGGGGCGCATCTGCAGGAATGTTGTGGGCCACAGTTTGTGAGCAGTGAGCACTGGCCTTGAGGCCCTGGAGGCTTGCCTGACCCCTGGGGCATGGATGGCCTGTGCTCTCTTGGGCATTTGGGGTTCGGGTGCAGCACCAGCTTGGAGCCACTGTCTTGGGATGTTCCCTTTCTGTGGCTCTCAGCTCGGGCCCCGACCCAACCAACTGTGTTTCCAAGAGGCTTTGAGCTTCTCTGTGGCACCGTGGGAGGGGGCCCCGGGGTGGGAGGCTGAGATCACCTTACATCCGGAAGCACTTTTCTCTGTAATCGGAGCTCTGCTAGTCTGTCTTCCTGTCCCCTGCTCCCTCTGCTCTCCTCTCTCTGGTCCTGTCCTTTGGCTCCCAGGTGTCACTCGGACAGCCACAGTCAGTACTTGGGGGCAGGGTGCTCTGGGGGCAGGGTTTGCTGAGGGCAAGGGTCCCTGGCTCTCTCTTCTGGGTCCTCAGCATCATTCCTGCACTAGGGCCCAGGCCAGGCCTGCCTGGCTGATGGGAGACTCCTTGTGCCGTTCTGGTACCAGACGAGTAGGCGTTGTGGGGGACCAAACATCAGAGCAAGGCTGAAAAGGGAAAGATTAAAGAAACCTAACCTGTTGGGCAGTTCCCGGGGTTGGGGAGGAGGAAGAAAGCTTATGGAAAGTGAGACATGTGAGACTGGGAGTTGGTCACCTGGAATGTCTCGGTTTGGAGGGAGAAGGAGGGTTTGCTGGGAACCTCAGAAGAGTGGTCCTCTATGAAGCAGTCCAAGCAGTTTGGTTTTGCTTTGTTTTTACCCTGGAATTGTCTCTTGAGGGGGGAGTTTTCTGCCCTGGGACATGAATGACCTGTGCCCTAGAACAGAAATGAAACTGCTTCCCTGTTTGGAGACAGCTCTCAGGGAGTTCGGGAAGCTGGTTTTGATAGTCATTTACAGAAATCTTTCCCCAAATCCCCTCAGTTGATTCCACAGTTTCCCTGGCAGTCTTTGTGAATCCTTGCGGGGCTCTGTCAGCATGGACACAACACAGGTTTCAGAATTTTCTGTGAGGGACTTCCCTGGTGGTCCAGTGGCTGAGACCTCGCTTTCCAATGCACAGGGTGCAGGTTGGATCCCTGGTCCAGAGCTGAGATGCCACATACCTCATGGCCAAAAAAGCAAAACAGAAAACAGAAGCAATATTGTAACAAATTCAGTAGGCCAAAAAACCAAAGCATAAGGAATATTGTAACAAATTCAATAAAGACTTTAAAATGGCACACATCAGGAAAAAAGAAAAAAAGAATCTTTGAGGTTATCTGAAAACTGGCCACCAGTCTTCTCCTGCAGACCTGGGGATGCAGGCAGGTGGGTGGATTGGAGGGTCTGGCTCCTGGCATCCTGGAGGGAGATGGGAGGCTTGGGTTCCTAACTATGTTCTTCCCTGACGTGCTCCATCGTCCAGGAGAGCACCTGGCAAAGCCTGACCCTAGTGGCTGCCCTCTCCGGGCCCAACAGTTTGGACTTTAAAAAAAAAAAAAAAAAATATATATATATATATATATATATATATATATATATATATATATATATATTTATTTATTTATTTTGGCCACCCTGGGTCTCTGTTGCTTTGCACAGGCTTTTTCTAGTTGCAGAGAACCAGGGCTACTCTTTGCTGCAGTTTGGGGGCTTCTCATTGCAGTGGCTCCTCTTGTTGCAGAGCACAGGCTCTAGGCTCACGGGCCCGTATTTGCTGCACACGTGCACATGTACTTGTGTGGCACACGGGCTTAGTTGCTCCATGGCACGTGGAATCTTCCCGAATCAGGGATCAAACCCGTGTCTTCTACATTGGCATTTGGATTCTTAGCCACCGCGCCACCACCCAGGAAGTCCCCAGTTTGGACTTTTTAATGGAGAGTCTTCAGTTCAGAACTGTCCCTCAGGCATCAGACCTGACTTGAGCCCTGCCTTGGTCTGGCCTCTCCCCACAGATCTCCGGATGACAGGGCGCAGCCGTGTGTTTGCCATGCGGCACGTCGTGGGTGTGTCTCCCGTACTGGTGCAGAGGGACCTCTTTCTGACCAGGACTCTCTGCAGCCACGGCCCCAGCCAGCCCAGAGAGAAGAGGCCCGAGGAGGTAGCCCTGGGGCTGTACCACCGTCTCACCGCACTAGGAACAGCCCTGGGCCACAGCATTCGGCAGCGGGCGTCCTCCACGGCCAAGACTTGGTGGGACAGATATGAAGAGTTTGTGGGACTCAATGAGGTTCGAGAGGCCCAGGGAAACGTCACTGAGGTGAGGATGGGAGCTGGGGTTTGGCCCTGCCCTCTGACCTGGGCAGTGTGGTCTGGAGGCTCCTGCCAAATAAATGACCAGCCACAGGTGCTGGGAAGCCATGTCCAGATTGGTCTGTCTTTGAACACATACCACTAGGAGGGGGAGCTGAGTTGTTTCTCACATGACGGCCGGGTTTGATACTACTGGGGTGAAGGGCCCCCTGTTCCCCATTGAAACAAATTGCCGTGTATGCTGTGTACCAGGGGGTTTTGGGCCATTAACATCTTGGGCCAGCAAACACTTCCTTCATTGACTGTTCTGGGGGTTGGTGGTGAGAGTTGCCTGGAGGGTTACAAGGTCCTCAGAGTCCCGACTGTGATTAAAGCATCCCTAGTGAAGGTGGAGGCCCTGGGAATTAATCAGACTGTGAGGTGGGGAGAACTGCCTCTGGTTGTCCAGTCCTCTGTGGCAGGGGAAACGCGTTCCGCCACCTCTGGCATCATCGACTCAATGGCCATGAGTTTGAGCAAACTCTAGAAGATAGTGAAGGACAGGGAAGCCTGGCGTGCTGCAGTCCATGGGGTCGCAAGAAGTCAGACATGACTGAGCGACTGAACAACAATCTTGTTTCCTACCCTGGCACAGACCACTGTAGTGGGGTGGGAAGAACCCGGGGTTCAGCCAGAGGTATTGAGGTGCAGTGCTGTCTCTCCCCTCGGAGGTCATGACTTTGGCTGAGCCAGGGTTTCTCAGCCTGTTGACTGGAGGCCTGGTGATGCCTGTCACGCGTTCAGTGATGTTGGGAGGTGTAGCTAAGGTAACACTCAGGAAGCCAATTAAAGGCCCGGGGCTGTACCCTGAGGGCCACTGGGTGAGCCAGGATTGTGTGTCCGAGAGACTCTCTTTCCGGCCTTTGCACTGACATCCCCTCCTGACCTCTTCTCAGCCGCGTCTGGTTGGGAGTGGAGAGGACCCTGTTGTGGGCGTGGAGAAAGGGGTGGGTGACTTCTGTTGTTCTCACTGCAGGCAGAAAAAGTGTTCATGGTGGCTCGAGGGCTTGTCCGGGAGGCTCGCGAGGACTTGGAAGGTCAGCAGACCAAGCTGAAGGAGGTGAGGGACCGCCTGGACCGCATCTCCAGAGACGATAACCAGTACCTGGAGCTGGCCACTCTGGAGCACAGGATGCTGCAGGTAGTCCTTCCTCACCTGGACGGGGACCCTGGGCTGCAGGGTGTGGAGGGGCGAGGTGGGCGCTCTGATGGGTCTGGGGGTCAGAGACCTGGTGAGGAGGTAAACCAGAAGACCCTGGGGAGAGACTGGGCTTCAGGGCTCCAGTGCCTTCCACCCTCTTCACTCCTAGAGAACTGGGACCAGCGGTCTAGTATACTCTGGGCCCCGGATTATTGGGAGGGAGCACCATGGAGAGGGCCTCCCGGACAGCGCCAGACACTTCCCTTCTGATCGACAGTCTGGAGACCCCCGTGCATGTCCGGTCAGACCCACGACTGCCCGGGGAGGATAGCACCGCTCACCTGGACCATCCCCGGTTCCTTGGCTCTCCCCACCCGTCCGACTTAACGCTGCCCTCACTCACCCAGCGTGTTTATGGAGCATGTAATCCATGCCAGGCCTGAAGCTAAGCTCCAGGGACGTGGTTGTCAGACTTCTGCTGGAGGCTGCTGGGCCAGGTCGCTGCTACATGACAGCTTTGCTTCCGCAGGAGGAGAAGCGGCTTCGTATAACCTACCTGCGCGCGGAAGACTCTGAGCGAGAGAAGTTCTCCCTCTTCTCTGCAGCTGTGCGGGAAAGCCATGAGAAGGAGCGCACTCGGGCGGAGAGGACCAAGAACTGGTCACTCATCGGGTCAGTCCTGGGGGCCTTGATCGGTGTGGCTGGATCAACCTATGTGAACCGCGTGCGGCTCCAGGAGTTGAAGGCTTTGCTCCTGGAGGCCCAGAAGGGGCCTGTGAGCCTCCAGGAAGCCATCCGTGAACAGGCATCCAGCTACTCGCTCCAGCAGAGGGACCTCCGTGACCTCGTGGCAGACCTGAAGGGCCTGGTGCAAGCTGGGACCACGCAGAGCTCTTTTTCCCAGGCAGGTTCTTCCCCAACCCGAGACAGAGACACAGATGTCCTTTCAGCTGCCATGAGAGAGCAGCTTAGCCATTCTAGGCAGGTCCGTTCACGTCTAGAGGGTTTACGAGAGCAGCTTGATGGCCTGGAAAAGACCATGAGCCAAGTGGCTGGGGTGGTTCAGCTCGCAAAGGCTGCAGCACACCCGGGCCTGGTGGAGTCTGCAGACGGGGCTCTGCCTGCTTCCCTGCTGGAACAGGGGAGTGTGATCATGGCGCTGTCGGACACGGAGCAGAGGCTGGAAGCCCAGGTCAATAGGAACACCGTCTATGGCACGCTGGTCACCTGCGCGACGTTTGTGGCCATCCTGCCTGTACTTTATATGCTGTTCAGGGCCAGCTAGCCCGCTGGACCCTCCTCCAGAGGGAGGGGGTATGGATGTGGATTTAGTTAGAGAATGAAGCAATGAAGTGAACTTCCCGGGGTGTACTCAGCCTGAGTCTGACCTCACCGGCAGACATCCTTTGATTTTTAGGCAACACTAATTGACGTTAACTAGCAAATATTTGTGCTCATGTCTTTCAATTTTGTTTTATTAAAAGTCTTTCATTTTGTCTTATTTAAAGTAATGTATGTGAGACTGAGTTTTGTCCATTGAACATTCAGATTTGGAACTTGAGGGTTGGGCCTGAAAGTAAGATAATAATCACCCCTCTTATAGTTCCTCTCTCATCTCTTGATCTGGCCCTTGGTTCGAGACCATTTTGGATACATTGGTGCCCCCCCCCCTCCCGCCCCCAGGCCTTGATTTTCATTTCGGATTTCCTGGCCTGTCCTCCACTTGTCCAACCCACCTGTGTCAGATGGCCCATGATTTCCAGTGAATAAAACTTGGCTTGCTGCCACTCACTGGTGACCATGGTCACGGCCTGTCTTTTGAATCACTTTCTCTGCCATGTTGGAGAGAACTTCCTGGTTCTAACACTGGAGGATTGATCAGAGGAGAGCAGGGAACAGGGATTGGGGGAATGGTTGGTAAATACTGCTGGGGACAGAATTACAGGGATTTGGTGACCAATCTGGTTCCCTGCTGGAGCGCCGCTTGGGCAGGGTGTCATCTCACACATAGCCTAGGGATGGCCTCTCCACCCCTGGGCAGAGCTCAGCCCATCAGCAGTGTGAGCGGTGAGGCAGTGATGGGGAGGGACCTCCCAGAGGTGCGAGGTACAGCTCGGGGGGGCACAGAGGCTTACTGAACCGAGAACCCTTGACCTCTTCCTTCTCAGTGGAGAACAGCAGCCTTTGACCTCCTGGGTCGAATGGCCATGGGTGGCCTTGTGTGTCCTTGAGTAAACAGGAGCAGTGAGGAGGCGCTCTGCTTGCACGGTGGGTCTGAAGAACCCGCCCTCCTTTCAGGACGCAACGAGGTGGGTCAGCAGGTTGAGCAGAGCTGACGCACGGCAGAGGCCTGTGGAAGCAGAAATGCTTCCATGAGATCCTGCCCTTCTTGGGCGCCTGTGCTCAGCCCTGGCCAGTGGCCCCCTGGGTGCAGTGAACCTCTGATCGTCTGGTCACTCCATCCGCTGCCTTGTTTTCTTTTTGTAATGATTCCTTCAGAGGGCGTGGGATAAAATGACCTCTGCGCTTGGGATGTTCATCCTCCTCGTGGGGTAGGAAACACCCTATCTGTCTATAGATGAGGGGTGTTGTGGGGTTTGGAAATCCTAGGTCCTAAACCTCGGTAGGTGAGGTGTGTCCTGAGGGGTGTGCACTTGAGTGAATGGGTCTGGGGAGGGGAGGATTCCAGGCACATGGAAGGGCCACCCAATACCCGCACAAGCTGCACAGGAAGGCGAGGCAAGGTGGCTGAGGGCCTTGGGGCACACCAGTTTGACTGAGGTGGTGATGGGTGTGTAGCATAACGTTAGAGAATGGAGTGGGCGACCCAGAAGGCCAGATAGCACCTGGGGTCTGTGATGTCCAGAGACGAGGGAACTGGGGAAAGGGTGTCATCCTGGTGCAGACAGGGTGCTGAATCCTGGACCCAGATGTTGGAAGAGAGGTTGGAGGTCCGGGGAGCAAGCCGAGGAGCTGGGGAGGGACAACTCGGAAGGCAGAGCCAGGTATGTGAGAGTGAAGGCACACTCATGGGCGGCAGGTGGGGAGAGGGTACCTGACGTTTAGCTCTTTCCACAGCAGCCAGTGTGGATGATGTAAACCTGATTGAGGCTCCCGCCAAGCCTGCAAGAGACCCTGGGAGCTTTCAGGGTGTGTGACAAATTTTGCCTCCCAGGCGGCTGTCCCAGTGGCTGAGAGCCAACCCCCCCCCCACCCGGAAGTCCTAATAGGATGGACTAAGTGCTGGCTCCTGAGTTTGCAGGAAGCCAAGCCTGAAGGGCCCTGCAGAGGGCACACCTGGGCCTCAGGAGAGAACCCAGGTGTGCCTTTGGAAGGGTGACGTATTTACAGGTGAGGGAGTCTAGACTTGCCCAGGGCTTCTCAGCTTGGGGCGGGTCCAGGTACAGGTTTGGGAGGAAAGGGAGGAAATGCGCCCTAGCTTGTGCACGTTTGCAGCGGTGGGCCCTCCTCTCCCAGCCCGGCTAGGTGTGGCATCACCTCCACTTGGCGGTGAGCAAACAAGCATGTGTGTTTGGGGGGCAGGGGTCAGGTTTCTTGGCTCAGTGATGGCTCAAACCCAGGCCCAACCCCATAGCCGGCGCTCTTCCCGCACAGCCAGAGGTGGGGGCCGGAAGGAGAGCTTGGCCGTTTGAGTCCCGGGAGTAGGACCGGTGGGCAGAAACCAGGCGCCCCGGAGTTCAGGTAAAGAAAGTTGGAGGAGGATGACCACAGGAGCCAGATACTGGACAGGTTAAGAGGGAGCTCGCGGGCCCCAGAGAGCAGGGGTGGTGGTTGGCGGTGGTTGGTGGGGCAGGTGACGGGCGTGGGGACCACCGGGCGCTGGCATGCAGGCAGGCGGAGGTCCGGGCGAAGCACCGCCACACGTCGGGGTGCAGAGCGCGACCCCCACCCCCCAGCCCCCGCCGTCCGGCCCCTCCCGTGCCGGAGGGCTCCCAATTCGGCTCCAGCGCGGCGCGCAGGTGAGGCCCGGCGGGGACTGGGCGGGGTGGGGCAGCCGGTCCCGCGGCTCGGCTCTGCGCGCTCCTCCCGCCGCCATCCGCGTTGCCTTGGCAACCGCCGGGGTGCAGCCCGCCTTCTCCCTCCCCTCCCCCCACCGTCCGCCCCCCTAGCGAGCGAGGGGTCGAGTCCCCCGCCCTCGGCAAGTGCAGAGCCGGGAGGGCTGGAATGCGGGGTCCCGGGCGGCTCGGGGCCGCGCGCCCGGCTCTCCCGGCTGCTTCCGGCCTGGCCTCGGCGGCGGGCGGGGGGAGGGCGGCCCGGCGGGCGCGGGGGGGGGGGGGGGGGAAGGAGCGGAGCCGGGCCCGGCCGACGCAGCTTTGTCTCCTTTGTTCCCGGCGGTGGCAGCGCCGCGGCGGGCGGGGCGGGCGGCGGGCGCAGTTTTCCGCCCCTCGGTCTCCGGGTAACAGCTGCGGCTCCGCCAGACCCACCTCCGGGGGGTGGCGGGGCGGGGAGGGGGGGTGCAGCCGGGGACGCGGGGAGGCCGCCGCGCGCGCAGATCCCGAACCCGGAGCGGCCGGCGCCCGCCTCGGCGCGCTCGTCCCGCGGGGCCCGGCCGGGTGGTGAGTGCGGGGCCCGGGGCCGGGGCGGTGGGGCCGGGGCGACGCGTTCCCGGGGTGGACGGGCCTGGAGCCGCGATGCCGCCGGGTCGACGAGGCCCGGGGTGAGTGGTGGGCGGCTTCGATCCGGAGAGTTGGGACCACACTTCTCCGCGCGAAGGGAAACTCTGGCGGCTCCGCCTGTAACGCGATTGGGAGACAGAGGAGGTGGAGCCGCTCCTCCGCGCCCCCTCCTCGCCGCCGCCGCCTCAGCTGGGGACCGGCCGGCCTCTTCCCCGCCCTCCCAGGACCACTGGGGGGGTCCTTGCCCTGGTCAGGGTGGAGGGAGGAGGGTCGGGGAAGAGCTACGGAGAGGTCCAGGCTTCCCCTCCGCAGTAACAACCCTTCCTGGCGGTACTCGGCGCGACTGACAAAAGGCAGACTGGGATTCCCCCTGCCACGCACCCCCTGAGGGGGAGCCCCCCACTCCGCACCCAGGCGGTGGGTGATTGATGAGCGCTCGCTGAGTCCTCACTGGTAAATGGTGCCCCCCACCGCGCCCCTACCCCGGCTCAACACGGACAACACGGCAGGCACTCTGCACTCTGATGCTGTCAATGAGTAACTTCTGGGAGCACCCTGGGAGCCCAGTGAGAGGGCCGAAAGGAAAGGCCGGTTTTGCACCAATCCCGGCGACGCCGGTGAAAGGGGCTGGGATGTGAACACTCTCCCAGTTTCAAGGGCAGAGTTTATATGCCCTTTTGGTTGGCGAGGACAGCCCCAGGTCCAGGAGGCTGTGCTTGTTCTTTGCAGGCAGAAGTTAGGCAGCCTTGGGCCCTGCTGAATGGGTCCAGAGATGGGGGCCCAGAAGAGCTAGGCTTTGACTCTAGCTGGAGCTTGAGATGTGGGGGGGTGGGGGGGGAGAGATCTTAGTTGTATAAGTTGGGGACTGGAGGCCGAGCTCAAAGGAGCCTTTTCAGTCTGCTCTGGCCTAGTCATTAATAAAAGTGGGGCTGACAACTGTGTCCTTCGAGAAGCCGGGTGGCTTGGAGTGGGTTGTGGGCTCCGCATCTCCCCTGCTGGCTGAGTTTTCTTGGCTGTAAAATGACGGTTCTTTTCAACATTCAAGGAGCACCTACTCCTTGAATAGGGCTGTCTGTCCTGCTTACTGGGGCCTCTGAATTAGAAGTCACATTCTCTGCCTTTAAGGAATTGCAGGAGTAGGAGAGTGAAACAGGGAGAAGAGTGGCCTTGGTTGGTGCCTCGTGTGCCAGGCACACACCGTATCATGTTGAATGATCAGAGCAGTCCTGCCTCCCATTCTCCAGATGGGAAATCTGAGGCTCAGAGAGCCCAAGGCAGAGCTGCAATGTACACCAGGGTGGTGGCTGGGGATGCCCGCCGACCACACGTGGTGGGCTTCTCTGGGAGGTGATGGTTGGGCACCTCATGTAATAGGGAGTGAGCGTGGAGGAGTGTGATGAACAGTTCTGCCTGGCAGGAACGAAGAGCATGTGTGGGGGAGCCCTGGCAAGGATCGCACAGGAGAGCGTGTGGACGGGAGGGCTTGACCTTTATCCTCTGGGCCCTGGGGGGTGCCTCCAAAGACACTGGAGAGAGGGACAGCCTCAGATTCTGCTTGAAGTCCCCCTGAGATGGGGAGAGGTGCACCCGAGGGGCCGGAGGCTGCTCTGTGGCTGAGGTGAAGTGAAATATGTGGCCGATAAGGAGA